TCTACTGAACGCGGCCATTTCTGCCCAAACAACAAGAGGAAATTTGAAATCGTTTTGCGGAAAAATGAAATGCAATAATAATAGTAATAATGGCATTAAGCACTTCAGAGTGCTTTACATATATGAAGTGCCGTACAAACATTAATTTATCCTACACATCTCCATGAATCAGGTACATCTAATTTATACCACCATCATGTAACTGCTGCAGATTCCTGCATTTCTTTTGCTCGCCTCTCTGATTCCTCTCTTCTTTCGCATGCAGAACACATTCCTCTCCGATTCAGTCTCTCTCCTCCTGTTTTGATTCAAGTTTCTCACCCACCTCCTCTCGCCTCCCCACCCTCCCTGTTCCCAAAGCTACAGGTTATAAGAAACACAGGGGTGCATCATCTCCTTAGCTATTCTGGAGGTTTTGAGAGGTGTACCTCACCTAACTACATACTGATCCATCAGCTAGGCTGAAGAATTATGTACTGGATAGACTGGTAGCCTGCGTAGCGGCACTCGCCAGAAACACACAGTCATCCAAGAACACAGCTCATGAGCTGTGCTCACAAGCACAGGCACCTGCTTCACCACAGGGCGCTTCTCCTGGAAGGGACAGATACCTTATTTTGTGAACCAGGGCTGTGTAGTATCACGACAGTCACACAACAGCCCCAGAACGACAGAACAAACGTACTACAGCAAATGCCGATGACCACAAACTGCTTCATTTAGATTTTCAAGGAATTCAACGTGGGTAATAAAACCCGTAATTTCGACATAAATCTTGGAAGTCTTGCACATAAATTCATCAGTATCACCTGAAATGACTAACATCGTCCACATGCAATTTAAGTATTAATGAGGGGGAAACATTTTCACTCACAATAAACGTGCAATATCGCGCGGGCCTGTGTATCGAACACATTAGTTCCTTTTTTGCTGACTTAGAATACAATTCATCAATAACTGCAGAACTTCTCAAAGCAAACAATGAGCTGACAGGACTCTTTCTCTTAGGCAGCACTTTTCAGGACAGTTTTTAAACTGCTAAGCTAGATCTATTCATTAAAATTTTTGTTTCCTTTAGATGGAAAACAACATTGCAAGAAAAAGGATGACTTGATTATTTCCCTGGCAAAAAGCACACAAAGAGGAAAGATGAGACATTTATTGAATTGCAAAGACCCAAGGAGACAAACATTCAAAAATCAGCTGAAAATACTTCTGCAGTAGCTTTGATATTTCTTTTAGCGACCCACATGCCAAAAAAATCTAAAGTATTCGGTAAAAACATTAACAGAGCATCAGTATGCCACTTAATTTACTGTTTTCCAGCCTCATTTTAATTGGCAGGTGCTAAAACTTTATCACATAAAGACCTAGGTGTTAGCTTTTCTCTCTCCAGAAGTACATAAAACTACCTACCCTTGACTTATTTGTACAGAAATGAAGTAGCAAAATGAATTAGAAACTTTATGTCTCCTATCTTAAGCCCACAGTATTTCTAGACAAATTTGCCTTCCTGATAATCAGCTGATTTATGAAAAGAATAGAGCCAGCCGTGCAGGGTCTGGTCGAAGAGCGAAGGAGAACCTGAGGCGCCGTCTCCAGGAAGCCTCCCCGAACAAGGGGGGCAGAGCCCGCGTGCCCCCAGCCCGGGGGCTGCGTGGCAGCTGCCAGCAGCACCGTGGTCGGGGCGCAGACGCCAGCGGGAAAGCGCACAACGCGCTTGTGCCAGCAACGCTGACGCAGCAGCCAGCCCCACCCAGGGGCAGCAAATCCAAATGGATGCACCATCCCCACTGCTTAATGGCTAGCAGTTGTATGTAGTACAGGCATATTAAGGCTTTATACACTGCTTCTTCTGCTGTAATTCCCTCGGTGCTTAATATACGTCAGGCCCTTTTACCCGTCACGCTCTTTGTACTCAAAGATTTTTTTATTTCCCCTCCTTTTTACAGTTACATGCGTATGTAAAATAAGTAAAATAAATGCTCCTTCATTTTCCGTTAAGTCTTTCCGGAGGAGGTGACTTTCAAAACATGATAGAATAAAAAGGCAGATTTAGGTAAAAAGTAGAGATCCAGCTTCTCTCCAAACACCTTCCCAGAGCACAGCTCTGGCTCTCCTCTTTTTACTCCCAAGCCAGATACTGCTGCAAACTAACCATACCGCCTCAGACTGCCAGCACGCTTTTTGAAGAGCATTCACGGAGAACGCTGCCAAGAGTAAGCATCGAGTTTCCTTTTGTCCCGTCTCACATGGCGGCGCAGAAAGAGAAAGGCTGACAGACACCTCTGGTACCCCACCCTGGGTAAGAGCTCCTACATCTGGTAACTGTTCATGATTAGAGAGAAACACTAATCTCCAAGGTTTGGTTCACTGCATTTCAGAGAGACGCTGTCATGATTCTGTTTCTGCCTCGTTTCAACAGTCTTTTCCATGTTATGGATTCCTAATACTCCATACCAGCTCTCCACTAGCAAATTATGAAATAAATACGTAACAGGCTAAAGTACTTAATATATAAATTAAGCAGGGTCACAACTAAGTGAATGCTTCGATACTCTATACTAATATGGAATTACTGTCAAATTTCATTGTTTGGCAGGATATAAAGCACTTGCAACGTTTATGTTTCCGCCTCCGTTTTTCAAGCTCTTTTCATAGGTTTCCCTAAAAACGAACCTGAATTCTTACTATTGCACCTTTGTGACCAATTTATATACATCACCTAGGACTACCAAGTAATCCAGCATCATGACACCATGACTTACTGCACTGCAAATATTCAACCTCTCAAAATTCATACAAGGCTTCTCAGCTTGTCCTAGGAGCAAGTTGGATATAATATGCCAGCCCCTGTTGATTTTTTGGGACCTTTTGCTAGCTTTTACAGCTTTTTGGCAGTAATAGCTCATTAACTGCTTTTTCTGAACACAAGCATGTTGAAACTCTTTAATAGTTTCCCCTGCCAGTATCTGGTTTTGAGCTTACAGATCCTCAATTCAAAAGTTTCGAACATCTTGCAAGCCTCTGATTTCTTGCCAAGGTTTTCTTCTGCTTCTACACTAGATTTCTTCACACACTTAAAAGTTATCGCCACTTTGCAGCGCTATTCCATGTTTAGTTTTGGCCCTATTTCTTAAAGATTCCCAACTCACATTAATTTTTCGTTTTGTTTTTCTTAATGTTACTTTTTTTTTTAAATCTTGACATTTTCAAGTGATCACTTAAGAAGATGTTTTACCTGTTTCTAAAACTGCATCTTTATTCTATAAACATATTGGAGAGTCTAGTTTGTTTAAAGAGATCAAAGTAATCAATACCTCAAAGAGTGCTACACTCAATTTCTGAAGACATCTGCCAGATGATGTTTACAAAACGTTTGAAGGTTTCCTCTCTTCATTGTTTTAACTTTTCAAAACAGTGCATTCAGAGAAAAGCGAGTTTTAGAAGTGTATTGTACAGTAACGCCAGAAATAATTCATTTGTATCTTTCTTTAACAAAACGCCAAACATAAACAAAATTATTGCTCATCAAGAAAGAAAAATCATAAAATTTAGAAAGAATTTACTCAGATTAACAGACATTCATTCTTCAACATACAGTATTTCAGTTAACATTCTCCTCTCAAACATTAAGTCTATTTTTTCCCCGGAAACTTTACATTTCCTGTTAGGTTGTATTTATTATTAGACTTGGATAATCAGAAGCCATAATTCAAGCTCTTCAATTAATTCAATTAGTTTCTAAGTTATAAAGATAGTAAAGAAAATTGAGGACTAAGGCGCGGTAAGGGACAATCTAAAAGTTTGGTTTTAATTTTCCATAAAAGCTTTTTGGGCAGTTCTGGCTAGAAGTTTAAGTTATCTTTAAGAAAGCACATTTGAGACAGCCACCAGTAATTTTTTTTTAAATGAAAGCCTGCCCTCTTGTGTAAGACTGGAGTTTAACATGACTATGGTTTAGAAGAATACAGAGGCATGAAGAGCAATGCTACTTTACATCCTGGCCATATAGAAGGCCCAAAAGACATGCAGCTTTCCAACGACGTTCCATTGGAGCGCGCTGCTTTTCCTCCTCAAGTGCTTCCTACTTATTGCCAACAGAAGATAGCCACCAACTTGTACAGAAAAGTAGTCACTGTATACAGGTAATAAATAGACCATGCACGCAGATTAGAGTTCAGCCAAAAGAGCAAACTGACAGACTTGTTCCCAATTCCTCTAACACACAATTATACCAACAAATTCCCATAGATCTAAAGCCATATTTGCTCTTCAAAGCAAAATAGCTGAAGTAAAATAACCGATGAGCGGGGAACACACAAATCAGCTACTCATACTCTAAAGCCCTCTGCAGCAAGAGTAAAAAAAGGTGTTTTCTCTTTTGCTTGTTATCTTGGCTAATAAGTTAAGAGCCAATCTGAAAATATTTAAATGCACAGTTAATTTAGGTCTTAGTCTTTTCCTATACCTTTTGTGCACCTTCAGTAGAGACAAGAGGGGGAAAAAAAAAAGTTCTTCTCTGCCTAACTGATAAATAAAGAAGAAGAAAGAATACAACGGCTAAGCCATGGGGACTTTCTGTTTTTTTTTTTAATCCTTATCCCAGTTGCTATACTGGGAAGGCATATGCTTTCTTAAGATCAGAAGAAGCCAAGCATGAAGTCTCACTCACAAGTGACTTGTGAAAGACCACTGAAGACGACATAAAAACGCCACTTAGTGCTGACAAGGTCCTAAAGTGGAAATTGCTGAAAACTAGCATGACTGCTACTTACTATATGCATTTCACAGCATGAGCCACAAACGTTTTTCCAGCTGCAGGAGCACCAGCACTCTCACAGAATACAAAGTGTAAATCATTCATCATGGATATTATCTACCAAAGGACAAAGCTTTCAGCTGTACTTGAAATTAAGAATGCTTCATCCCTCTCAGATAAATTGGCACCCCAACCTACTAAATGTGTGCGCTAAGCAGAAATAAGAAATAACGCTTACTTTCGAAGGTGTTCATGTTCCTTCAGGAATAGCTCTGTTCTTCTGTTATTCACACCAGATCCACTTTTATACGATCTAAAATGTAACAAAATTTGAAAAATTTTTTTCCAAAAGCTTTTCAGTAGACAGTATTTATATCTCTACATACATATCATGTTTTATTACTCCTAAATGACTAAGTAGAAAAGTCTCAGTCATGTTAAGATATTTTTAAACTGATTTGACATAGCTTAATAGCTTTACTTTAAAAACATGAGTGCCTTATCATAGTAAAATAAAAGAAAACAGAATCGTATTATACCTTTACTAGGAGTCATGAATTCAAATGACTTTTCTTGCATTGTTAAGAGACAGATGAATCAGCTATACCAATTACTCTCCTCCTACAGGAGGGTTGCATCTTCTCCCTCTGAGGAAAGTCCCATGCTGTTGCTACAACACACAGTACAATTTACGATACACAATACAACTTACTCAATATCTTTTCGTACTGATCCCAACAGATTCTCCCTTTCTCTTATTGCCAAAAAGTTTGCTTTGGTTTTGTGGAATTCGTGAGTATAATCCTGTAATAAAACAATTGCTACAAAATTAGATCAATTTAACAAAAGAATATACTCAAGTAAGATCTGACCATCTTTTAAAATATTTGCCATCCTTCAATAAAAAGTACAAAGACAGCTTATTAAATTAATATTGAAAATGCTGGGAAGGTAATACAAAGTATATTTAAATCTCACTGCTCTTTCAGTATTTGCTAACTTTTGTTAGCAAATACTAAGCTAAGGCCATAGTGGAAGATTCTATATAATTCCTTCTCTCTTTCTCATTTATCTTCAACTTTCTGAGGGAAGATCATTTTGTTTTGGAATTTCCCATTAGTGGTTGAACCTGAAGTACTAGTAAAACTTACTCGATGTGGTGAGGCTGTCCTTGCGTTTATTTTGTTAAGTTATACTGGATGAAAAAAAAAATTCTGAAGAGTAAAAGAATTATTTATTTATTTATTTATTTACAGATTTTCAAGTTGCAATTTTACATTTAAAACTTTTCAGGCAGCTAATACTTCTTGAAAGACAATCTAACTGGCAACTGGTGTTCGGTACAACACCAAAACCGTTGTAAATATTTAGCACCATTTTTCATATAAACGCTATGTCTTTTACAAAAGGTTACACCTTTTATACTGCACATTGTACACACACCAAAGAAATATCAAACTCCATATAGCTAGCCCAATAAACCTTATGTTTTTAACATTACTTCTATGCAAATGTAATCAGTTTGAAACATAGCTTATTTAAAACACTAACTAGTAGCTTTAGCTATCACATTTCCTTCAAGTCCCTTTATCATTTTAGATGGTTTTACAATCATGTTTTCCTATTTTAAATGTTATGTTCCCTCTATTATTGCTATGTGACAGACCACAAACAACAAGGGTAATTCATTTTAGCGCTTTCCCCCTTTTGCTGTATAAAAGGCATTGACATGATGGCCTGTTACAGTGTCCTTTCCTAGCTAGACACCGCCCTTTAAGTGGTGGCTTCCTACAACTCAAACGGTATGAATTTTTAAACAATTTGATGAGATGACATAAAAAATGCTATTTTTTCAACTCAGAGTTCATTGGTTGGGGTGCCTGAAGAGTAGAAAAGCGAGTTGAGGGTGGTAGTATTTAAATCTTTTAGCAAAACATTCAGATACAAGACTTTATAAAGGCTGAGACTACACAAGACGCTCTTGTCTTTATAGGCACACCAGTAGCAGATAGGCTCCTGCTCAAATTGTTAGCTATTTTTCATCTAGTTTTAACTTTTCTACTCAGGTGAAAGAGAGACATTAAATATTACAATATAAGACACACAATTCAATGGAAGACTCTTTGGAAAGGAACTTGAAGCCAGAGCCGAGTTCGTGCAGAACAATCCAGGTGATGTGCTTTGGAAGCAAGTTCTGTCCATTAGCACAGACTGCAAAACATTCCAAATACTCTCACATAAAAACCAGGCAGCAGCTAAAGCAGAAACCTGCACAGTGTAGCGTGCCTATCACACAGGACCTGGGAACAGCCCAGCTGTACACTCATTAGAAACTTCCAAATGAGAGTCACTTCCACAGTCAAGACTTTCAATTGCTTTTTTTCAGGCAGCCTCCTTATAGCAGCTTTTCCTTTATCAGAGATCTTTAGTGGCAATTAATTTTAAGTAACAAGATACTAAAGAGAGCAGAATATAATTTAATTCAAAAAAAGGGGGAAGGGGGAAGCTTTGCAGAAGATGATACTTTCTCACAGATAAACGAATCAACAGTCATACTGACAGAGTAGTCAGAAAAAAACTTCTCCAAGTAAGATAAATATTTAATTTTAAGAACGTTTTCAGATCCTGCACTCATAGCACATAAAAAAAGAAGATTCTTCAATTAATCAGACTCTCTACTTGTTGCACTTTAGTCATTATCAATACAGCATGCGTTTTTCAGTGACAGAGCATCCCTGAGACACCTCCTGGCCAATCGACATGTGTGTATACACACACACACACATATATATGCATGTGTGTGTGCAAATGTGTGTACGTGTATGTATATATGCGTGTGTGACTATGTACACAGTATGCCCACAGATACATAAAACGAACAAGTATGCTGTAATATCAGCACTACCAATAATTATTGCAATAAAGCAACGGAATAAAAACAAGGAGCATATGTTTGTTACCTGTAATATATCTCTGTGACGCTGTAACGTATGCATCAGTGCAGCATTCAGGGATGGGACTCCAGCACTATTTGTATATTCTGCCATTTTGTCATTTATTCCAGTAAGCTGGAGTAGGAAAATATGAAATAAATTATTCTTGTAAATTGTTATAAGTTGCTGTAAAGTAACTTCTAAAGTTATAAGATAGGTAAGTTGAAGGAGTTAGCTCCAAAGAGGCATAGATGCCTCCAGAAACGCACCACCCACAGTAGCATCACCCCAACGTTTTTGTCACAGGTACTGCAACATCTACTAGAGGCTGAAGTAAAAACACAGTAACTTGCTTTACCTTTCCCAGAAGTTGTTCAATCTCCACAGCCATAGTCTCAAACATTCTGTCCTGGCTCGATCCATTTAAGAGAGGAGTCGTGTCAGAGCTAAGGGAAAAGAGGAAGAGTATTTACTGAAAAGTACATCTTTTCATGAATGCAAGAAATATGGAAACACTAGTGTTAGATGCTAGCAGACTTCATTCCCTAAGTTTCCTAGAGGGATAAATTAAGTTCAGATAATGACATTTCCCTCTTATTCTGTGTTGTTAGTCCAGATAAGAGTTAAAGGCATATGTCACTTAGGGAAAACATAACCTCCCCTTGGAGGATATGCCTGATGTTAGATTTGTCTAGCACCAGCACACACCAGTACTTGTCTAGCACCAACGTCCGTCTCTCTCCAAGTTTTCAGCTTGACTTTTTTTTTTTTTTTAAAGCAGGAAGAAACACTGTAGTATTAGTATGTTAAAACAGTTATATAATTATACGTTATTAACACAGTGCTAGAACATCCCACTGACATTTTATGCAGACAATGTTCCATAGAGCAAAACTGTACAATTTATCACAATTTCTGTTTCATATAGTCCACCTTCCCTATGCTTTTAAAAATAAATTAAAAACCATGAGAAATCACATTCATGCAACAGAAGCACACCCACGTAGTATGCCAACCTGCAGAAGTATGATAGCTAACATCTTTCAAAGACTACTCTCTGCTTTGATAGTCTCTCATAATTAGAGTAAGAAAAAGAAGGAAGAAGTTTTGCACAGGAAAGCAAAAGTAAAACAATCAGATTATACAATGAGTAACACACAGCAAAGAGACAGAAACATGAGACAGAGTCTTGGACTCTAATTCAAGAGCAGTATGACAATCTTGAGGCTCTTTCTCAGGCTTACAGAACCAGAAATTCAGGGAAAGACTCAAGAAATGATTCCACCCTCTAGTAGCTTTATACCAAATCCATTAAGGTATCCACTCCTTGAAAACAAGAAATGCTCTGATGATTCAAAGGAACAGGACCAAGTTCACTAATGAAAGTAATGTTTACTCAAAAAGACAAGAAGAACACGAGGTTAAAGCATATGCAGGTTTGTATCGATCAAGGTATACCTTGCAGGATTAAGGCTAGGAAGCAAAAAACAGGATTAAAACCAAAAATCAACAAAGACATGCACACAGCAGCCATACTCATTACTGATACACAATACTAGGACTCATAATCACTACTCAAAGAGCTTTTTTTTTTTTTTTCTCTTTTTTAAAAGGCTGCACATATAGGGCAGAGAGGTTGATTATTAGTGCTGTGGAACTGTAGAAAGACCTGAGATGTTTTATTACACTAATCCTCCAGTCAAACATCAATTTGTCTACAACAAATAGAATTTTTATATATATAAGCATACACACACATATATAGATGTAGCTCTCACTACTTATCTTAGAAGAAAACCAGGAACTAACAGCTACCCCTCCCACAGGGAGAACAGAACTGCCCACTTCTACTCCTTGCTTGGCTGGTTACTTCCTTGGACCAGTTACAGCAGCTCTCTGCCCCTTGTCGTTAAAATGGGGATTACAAATATCATACCTTTCCACCCAGGAAAGGCATAAAGCTAAATTCCTGGAGCACACAGCATTTACTGAAGTTCCTAAAAACCTCTGCTGCATTAATGTATGAAAAACTAGAAAATAAGCTGAGGCAGCCAGCTGTACTGTGCACGCAGAGCCCTGCCACCCATTCGTACGCTGTTCCCACAACTGCAAACCAAAGTTTAAATACAGCTTCCCCTAGCAACATAAATGCAACACTGCAGACTGTACATCTTCACTCACACACCAGTTCCACGGAATAGCACATCTAGACCAATACCAACATCGTGTAACTAATAAACACTGAAATGAGCTTCTTAAGAAGCTAAGCATAAAGGCCGTGGCTGGCGGCGGCGAGATAAATATGAAGCAAACTGTAGCAGGAACCGAGCACTCAAAGCAGCGTTGAAACATAAAGAAACGGGTTAGTACCTATACCTGTCGCGCCTTCCGTCTCGGGCGCCGCTGTAGCTGGTGCACAGCTTGCTGAAGGAGACCAGCTTGAGGTCCAGCTCGTTCTCCAGCTGCCTCGCCTGCTTCCTGAGGTCTGAACAAAGCAGCAGAGAGAGGGCAAGGGGTCAGGGGGC